CTGGAGGATCCCGCAGGTGCTGTATGTGTCCTGCGCATGCGTGGAAGCGCAGAATTCGGCAAAACCGGGTAAGGAGTGGGTGCGCGCGGGCGCGGGGGGGGGGGCTTCGCCGTTCCCAGAAGTTACTTACTTCCGGGTTCGGCGACCAACCGGATCGCGGGGACCGCCGCGAACCGGTTGAAACCCACCCCTGATCTGATTCACCGAACCGGTAGTTGCCCTGCCCATCTTGCCCTCAGCCTTTGCACAGGCCCTGCACTTACCCCACTCCAAAACAGGCCACGTGGAGACTCCTGGGAGGAGCGTGGTGGGGTAGCAGGGGCAAGGTGTGATGGGCAGGGCCAGCCAGGTTTGGGATTTGGAGGTTCTCCGTACCGGCTCCAATGTTAGCTATGGGTTCTCTTGAACCCGGGTGAACCGGTAGCAGCCCACTCCTGGTTGAGTTGCTTGAATCAAGAGTCACAACACATGGCCACTGTACCTTGAGAGCTAAGGAGGATTGAGGCAGAGGAGAGGAGAGCAGTGGAAATCTATGGGCTGATCCTTGGGATGGAAGAACCACCGCTGCTAGCGAAGCCCCACTCTACCTCTGCGGATAAAAAGCAGCGGGTAGAGATGAAGGTGGCTCAGTGGCTAAGGAGCTGAGTTTATCAATCGAAAGGTCGGAAGTTCGAATCCCTAGCACCACGTAATGGAGTGAGCTCCCGTTACTTTTCCCCAGCTTCTGCCAACCTAGCAGTCTGAAAGCACGTAAAAAATGCAAGTAGAAAAATAGGGGCAACCTTTGGTGGGAAGGTAACAGCGTTCCATGTGTCTTTGGCATTTTGTCATGCCGGCCACTTGACCATGGAGGCGTCTTCGGACAGCACTCCATGGTCACTGGAGAGGGTTTGTCTTGTTTGAGGAGCTGGGTCAGAACAGGCCATCTGAAGCTTGTCTGCAGGTAGAGTCCCAAAGGTTATGACTTTACTTCAGTGGTGGGTTTCAAAAAATTTTCGAACCTACTCTGTGGGTGTGGCCTCCTTTGTGGGAGTGGCTTGCCAGCCATGTGACCTGGTAAGAGTTGCTTGCTGGCCATGTGTTTTCTTTCTTTCTTTTCTTTCTTTCTCTCTCTCTCTTTCCTTCCTTTTGTCTCTCTGTCCCTTTTTCCTTTTTTTCTTTCCATCTTTCACTTTTTCTTTCTTTCTTTCTTTCTTTCTTTCTTTCTTTCTNTATATACATGTACAGGTATGATGACATAACAATGTTGATGTAATGACTGTAAGGTGTTGTAGAAGGGAAAAAGTAATTAAAACAATCTGCAAAAAAGAAGAAGAAAGAAATATTAATGTAAAGGCAAGATAAAAATAGATTTAAAAATGACATAACTGTTAAGTAGGATGACACAAGGACTGTACCCAGATGAGTAAGATTAATGATGTCAGAGTGGTTATGGAAAAATAAAAATAAAAACTTTTCAAAAAAAAGAGAGAGAGGAGATGATTCCTTCATCCTATGATGTTGAGGGAAGAGATCTACAATCAGTTACGTGCTAGATTTCTGGAGAAAAGGAGAGTAAGAAATCTATGGACCTCCAGATCCCTCTTCGCAGTTACTGCTATTGAGCCCGGTTTCACTCAATATCGAAACCGATTTACCCAGATAACCTCTGGGCTCCGCTTTATTAAACATGCACAGCTGGAATCCTACGCTGCCAGCTGGATTCTGCGCTAAAGAGGAGGTCCCTTCCAACTTTCCAATCTGCAAGCATCAAGCCAACACCCCCCCACCCCCCAAAAAAGCAATTCTCCCAATTCAAGGGAGTAAAAAGTAAAGAAAGATGTTATGTTAAAAAAAAACATAAGATCCCCAGTTACAAGAACTCATGTGATTCTAGCATTTACATCAAGAGTGTCATCCGGAGTTATGCAAACAAAGATTAATTCATAGGGCGACATTCTGAGCTTTGAAAAGCTCTTATGATCCAGAGCTTTGCTTTTCAATCCCACGAGAGAGGTAAATATTGTCCCTGAAAGGAGAGGAGTGGGAAGCTCTCTGGCAATCAGGGAGATTTGACACATCAGCATAAAGAATGTTACGCCTTCATTTTTTAAATAAACATTCAGCTTTATTCATTATGAAATCAATCTTTCAATCTTTCTATATCTTCCGACATCTTTCTATATCTTTCTTTCTTTCTTTTTCTCTCTCTCTGTCGTTCTCTGTTTCCCTTTCTCTCTGTCTCCAGTCTGTCTCTCTCTCTCCCTCCCTCCCTTCCTCCCTCCCTCCCTCCCCCCTCTCTTTCTGTATTCATTTCTGTATTCATCTCTCTCTCTCTCTCTCTCTCTCTCTCTC